ACGCATCTATCCATCCTCATCCATCCATCCATCCACCTATCTATCCATCAGGGATTTATCCACCCATCCATCATCCACCCACCCATTATCCATGCAACATCCACCCATTCATTCATCTCCATCCACTTCTCTATCTATCCTTCCACCCACCCATCCATCCATCCATCCATATTCCCTTCCCAATTTCTTCCCCTCACTCTCCCTCCCATTCTCCTTCTCTTTTTCTTATTTTCACTTCTCTTCCCCCCTCTTTCCATCTAAGCACCCAAACACCCACCCACTGATGCAGCCAGTTGACTCACAAGCTTGCCCCAAGCGAACACTGGACTAGGTGTTGCCAAGACAGAGGCTCCTAAGATGCTGGCCCTCAAGAAGCAGCCAGATGTCTGGTGGGAAAAGCCCACAATTCAATCAACGGCAATAATGCAATTAAAGCTGTCGCCAGGCTCGGAGTAAAGGGAGCGGGGAGAAGGAGCGTTTCCCAGGGAGATGCCTGCGCCTACAGAGAGGAGGTGGGAGGGAACCGAGGGCAGCTGGGATAAGGCGTTCCAGATGGGAGAGCGGGAAGGCAGGGCGTGGCCAGCCCTGCGTTATTCCTGGCATTGGAAACCCGGTACCAGTGAATGCTGACTGTCCAGCCGCCCATGTGGCCATCGGGCGGTGAGGCTGGTGGGCGGAGCAGGAATCTGCTCTTCCATCCTCCCCTCCACCGGCCGCCTCCCTCCCAGGCAGCAGAGAGGCCAGGATAGAGACCTGAAGACGGGGTGACAGCCCCCCTCGTGGTCTGAGGGATAATTACACAAGCGCACAGCACATGGTCTAATTCTGACTGTTGACTTCTCTCTGGGCCTGAGCTTTCTCACGGATAAAATACACAAGTGAGGCAAGAGCTCTCTACGGACCAGGAGAAGCCCTGGAACACTGCAGGGTGTGAAGCACCCAGGTGTGTGCAAAGTGTACCTTAGATCCCTGCCCGGCACCACCACACACAGGCACACGCATCCCCTGCATCTGTATGTTAGATGCTGGGCGAATGCTGCGAATCGGTGTTTTCTGCCCTCTGGTCCGAATGCCCACGGGGGAACGTGCTCTGTGAATTCCGATTCCGGTTTGTCGCAATCACGCGCACTCCCATGTTCCGGAAAACGTGAAAACACACAGGACACTGTCCTGTCCCCAGAGGGCGCTCTGTGCAACCTCAACTGCTCCGAACGCAGGGTTGGTCCTGACGGGCCAGGGACTCACACACGTTCTGAAATCAGGACCGAAGGCCCCGTGCGCGGCCAGCTCATCGCCATCGCAGGCTACCCTGTCCGCTCCGGGCAGGCCGCTGACCGAGCTGGGCACCCACTCTCGTGCCACGTGTGACAGGAGGAGGCAGCCACCAGAACAGAGCGAGACAGGAAGCAGACGTCCCCCAACAGAAGTAACCAGGTACTGAGCGCTGTTAACGTGTCAGACACGGACGACACGCCGGGGAGACAGCCGGGAACACGGCTCGGGCTCCCGAGGGACCCCAGTCCAACAGCATCCTTCCCACGGCAAACCCCGACTTAAAGGGACCGTGAGCCACTCATTCCGAGTTTCTCGAGGGGGTTGGGGGCACCCCTGAGGAGCAGACCTTGCGTGTGGCCATCGGGGGCCCCTGCGAGCCGGGTGCCCCTCCCACAGGAAGTGCCCGCTTAGGGGGTGACCCGGGTGGGGTGCAACAGGGACCCTCTCAACCCTCTGCCCCAAGATCTCCAATAAAACACGTTCCAGACGCGGGAACCACGCCAAAGCCGAAGGCCTGGTGAGGGGACACGGGGCTTTCATGGAAACGGGGCACAGGAACACGGCATCGATACTGGCCGAGCACCGACGGGGTGGGACCCAGGGCTGCGTCGGGTGCGCTGGGCCGGCTCGCAGGTCCTTCCCGATTTCCCGCTCAGTGACGTCACGGCGGC